TGGATAGACCGGGGGAGCGCAGGTTGCAGTAAAGCTGAAACTTGAAACTCTCGTAGTCTTGAAAATAGCTGACACATAACTCTAATCATCCATGCAAAAAGCCAGCGTTTTCATATAATAATATAGCTACAACGTTTGACTTCTATCGCATATACACTCAAGGCACCCCCCCTCCCCCCCGGAAAAAAAGATAGCGCCAAAGTTGTTCATTTCTTTCTTTTTAAAAAATTCCTTTATCCTCAATTAGTACATGTATCACGGCACGCATTTAAAGCCCAAGTGTCAAAACAATATCCCCACCCCCTCCCCCCGGTCGTCCACACTGGTTAAGTCCCGAAAAACACCTCGACCAATGCGACCGGTGTGAATGAACTTTGCTGACCCCGACAGCCGACGGTCCCCGACACACGCGCTACTCACACGTACGAGTCATGTCATGAGATGCGAATGAACGTTTGAAAGCTCCACTGACAGGTCTTGATGATGGGCCCGGCTAACCAGAACTCAGACGAAGCTTGCTTTTAAAGCAACGGCAGAACAACGGTCGAGTTTAGTTGAAATAACGTGCGTGAGTCCTCTACTAGATTCGGCATAGATGCCTTAGAAAGTAGCGTTCCAAGTTCCTGCCGATAAAAAATCCAACCAGTGCTTTCAAACAAAAGAGATTGCAGAACTTTTTATATTTTTTTCTAAGAATCGGTCGGAACAGACGCAACCACAAAAAATCAGGATACTGGCGATCGAAATCGGGAAAATCGGGATGCTTGAGATTTGGGGCCAAAAATCGGGATATCCCGATTAAATCGGGATATCCCGATTAAATCGGGATGAGTGGCAGGTCTGCATTATGTAACAGAGTCCTTCTGTTATAAACCACAAGGCAACAGAAAAAAAAGTATTCTTTACACACTACATAATAGTTACAACCATCCATCACTTCCATTCAGTCATACCCAAAACTCTATTACATTGAAGCATAATAAGATTCCACAACAAACCAGGCTACAAAAAGAATAGGCTCTTCGGTGGAGAGATCCATAACAGTAGCTTCAGGGCATGCCATACTCCACATCACCTTAATCTTATCATCAATTTCAATAAAGTAGTGCTGATAGTATGTGACAATAAAGTAGACCATCGTACAAAATTTGATCAGACAAGGCCTGAAGCCATCTAGGGAAAAAGTAAATTGTCGGGTAAAAATCTCAATCTTTCGGCCGCTAATAATAATGCACTATCATATAACGAGTCATGCCCCATTTAAATTATAATACTTTACTTAATTCTTTTTCCCTGCACTAAAGTGGGATTTCTTATTTACTAAATCAGTTCCTTGACTACTAAAACAATATCAAAAAGATTCTAAAAAGTATAACCATCAGTTTGTCATTCTAAAAGTTCTTCAGTGGCTCTTTAATATTTTCCTTGATATTAAGGTTGTTCAAGTAAGAAAATAATTACTTGGAAACTAATAACTCTTCTTAAGGGTTCTATCCAAGAAAAAAGAAATAGCTATCTATCAGAAAGAAATGAATCATGAAATAAATTTAAAATCTGACGTTGACTAGAAATCTAATGTAAACACGAAGAAAGCTGACTATGATAGTTAGAAAGTCATCGTATCTGTGTCTATAGCTAGCTATGTACATACACTATCAAAGTGTTTAGATACATAGCCATCTTCAAACATCTTCAAATATTTAGTAAGATCTTACAAGTAAAGCTGGAATAAAAATTATATCAGACCCTGTCAGGCAAATACTTCCACTTTAGATATGAGAATTTTGAAGTGACAATCTGTCCACCTTAAGAGTATTGAGAAAACAAAGGCGATCACTATAAATGACCCAATTGCATGCATGCATATCCAGCAGAATACAACTTGGAAAACCCCCCAGTACAGCACATAGCTCCTTTACTGGGTGAAATTAACATCATGGACACACAACAGTACGTTTTTACACATTGGCAGATCAGCTTGCTTGAGATGCAGACAATGAAGTTAGAATTCTAGACTAGACCAGCATCTTTGGCCATGCTGTGGAAAACAGATGATGTGTCCTGCAGCAGGGCCTGAGGACTGTCAAACTCGTGGATCGTGCCGGCATCCAGGACCATGATTCTGTCAAACAGAGTCACAAGAGCACATTACAGCAGTGACGAGACGATAAATGTCTACCCTATAATACTTGAGTCAGTTGTTGGGTAGTGTTTATCAAACTGCCACCTTTGCCAACAACTTAACAATGTATAAATAGGCACTAAAAGAAAGAGATTCGAAAGCACCCATCAAATACCCGTTCTTTTAACAGACAATTTAAATTGCTTTGCAACGATGCAAACACTGCATACAAGGAAAAGTAGCCCCCCCCCCCCCCTCCCCTCAGCTGGTCAGAAAGAACTTCAGGCCTGACTGTACATCCAAACATAAACAGGAAGCTCAAGTTCAGGCTTACATTCATGTCAAGCCTATGTCTGTGGCACAGTGCTTAGGTGGGTGGATCCTAAGGAATGCCTTTGGGAAAAATATGATAACCCGAGTTCATAAACAGGATGCTGCATAGCACTGACCATTCACACTGTTTTTATTAGACTTGCAGTACTCTTGAGACTGTGTAATATTTAACGTTAAAGAATAAGTATACATTTGTAATGTACTTGTAACTGTAAACCAAATTGGCAAGAGGATATCAATAACAGTGGTGTTTTATTCCTTATTAATCAACATTTTGCTCTCAGTATACAGGTCATGTCGTTAACAGCTGCCGACGCCCCAAGCAAGAGACCTACCTTGTGTAATCCATGATCGTGTTGAGGCGATGGGCGATGGTGAGCACAGTGCAGTGCTCAAACTCTGTGCGGATGGTGGCCTGGATGAGGTCATCAGTCTCCAGGTCTACAGCCGCAGTGGCCTCGTCAAGGATAAGAACCTGAGTCTTCCGGAGGAGAGCTCGGGCCAGGCACACCAGCTGACGTTGACCGACACTGAGAGGGAAATGACCACACTCAAGTCAGAGAGCTGTATTTTTATTGTGGATGTCTAAAAAGATAAATTTAAATATAACCCCTATACCCAACCACTTTATTCAAAACATTGTTAACCCATAGATATTCTTTCAGGCCCTACAAGACACAACAAAAGAAGTGAGAACAGGGGGAAAAAAATTACTGTTCCTCATATTTTCACAGACCTCCCAATAAACAATCAAACAAGAATAATTAGATAAGAACAAGATGCACAACTGTACCTCAGATTTTCACCACCCTCAGAGCACTCAAACAGAAGGCCTTCGGCCAGCCCGGACACAAAAGTCTTGAGGTGAGCATGTTCCAGAGCAGACCAGATGTCCTCGTCGGTACGATTCTCAAAAGGATCCAGGTTCATCCGAAGCGTGCCGGAAAACAAGACTGGATCCTGGAACACAAAAACCTTTGAGCGTCCACCCTTCTCAAAAAACATCACAATTTCATCTCATTAAGATCCTGTGCTATCAAAGTGGAGGAGCCGCAGAACAAAAAGTAAGATAAACTGTTGATCAGCCAGTAGAATCTCTCTCTCTCTCTCTCTCTCTCTCTCTCTCTCTCTCTCTCTC